CGATACAAGGCAAGTAATAACAGTTGAAGAAGAGGAAGCAATGATGTAATTCCCTGCAGATTTTCTAGGTTTGCTCACAAAAAATGTGGTTTCATCCCATTATGTGGTACTTTCTTTCCATTGCAGAAACCGAATATTAGTGAAGTTCAAATGTCATTTGCATCATATTTGGGGAATTTAACAATTAATAAAACATACCTTGAGTGGCAAGCAGAGCATTGAGAGAATTTCTCTAGTTGGCCACCAGGGTCTCAGATATGAAGAAGAATTTAAACCAATTCCTCATTTAAGGACTCTCTAAAGATGTTAATGAATTTTCTAGTTAAGGACAGTGAATATGATTAGAATTTGACAGTTATGAAAAGGATCAGCTCATGAGTAAGAGACTGAAAGGGATGAGAGTGACTGAGAGACTCCCCTGTAGCGACCTTTTGGTAAGGCATTGCACTTGAAATCCAGAGGTTCCGAGTTCATTCCCAGAGACTGCCACTCTGGGTCCCTGAGCAAGACCCTTAACCTACACTGCTCTCCGGTGCCGCACAATGGCAGCCCACCGCTCCCGAAGGGGATGGGTTAAATGCAGAGGGTGAATTTTATTCCTCTGTACTTGTGACAGTGTAATGACAATAAAAAGTTGGAAAATCCTCTTGGCTGCTTGGTAACATTGTAATGGCAGAATTTTTTTTTTTTTTATTTAGCAGAATATTGACATGGTTTTAAAAACATTTGGAAACACAGCTAGTGAGACTCCATGACATCAATGTGCCTCTTCTTTGGAAACTTAATTGTTTTCTAAGCAGTGTGTTCTGAGTTATTGTCATTCAGAAAATAAGCACCAATAACCGAATCTATGGTGTTTTTATCACATACTTCATGCTACTTGTTTGTTGGACCCTCATTATAGAGAGCATCCGGTACCCCAGCTGAAAAAAAGCCCCAAAGCATATTATTTCCACTTCTGTGCTTGATGGTGGAGATGCTTACCTGCGGGTGACTCTCAGAGATTTCCTTTCTCCAAACATGGTAGTGTGAGCTGATGCCCTTCCTCCCATGCCTTCTCTGAATGATTTATATGTTTACTGGTAAACTCAAGAGGAGCTTGTACATCTACCTTTTTTAGCACATGAATGCAATATTTCTTTTTTCTGTGTATGTGCAGAAGTGTTCTTACTTGGAAAGTGGATCAGCTGCATTTAGATCATTAAAAAGCCCCTCCTGTGTTTTTGTTGGCCTATCACTCAACTTTCTCATGATCATTATTTCACCATGAGTCAAACTCCTGCAAGGAGCTCTGGATGGAGGGCTCCTAATGGTCATTTTATGTGTCTGCCATAGTATTACACCAACATCTGTCTCTCTTTCTCTCTTTCTCAATCCTTAAAAAAAGATATATATATATTATGGAAGCAGAGAGTGGTCATGTCCCTAGGCTACTTTTTGGTGGTGAAAACAAGTACATTTTCACATAATCTCAAGGTAACAAAAGCCGTTTTCTCTTCATAACTAGATGATAATATTCTCAGTACAAAGTCGTTTAAATACCATAACAGTGGGAGATGATTTATAAGTATATGTCATGGAAGCCTCTGTGTAATTCTGTACATAATCCTGTGTTTAACTTTTAGGTAACGAGACAAGTTTTTTTGATTTGAGTATTTGCTTCCACTTCTGATTCATAACCAATTAGACATATGCAGTGTTCTTTCACCGGGACGTTTTATGAACAGCCCCGATGTTACGCCTGTAACAGGGATTAAGATGCATTAACCCCCAAAATGAGTCCAGATTTCAGATTTGTTTCTACTGCATTCCATGTAATCCAATCATCCACCATGACCTGACAACGAGTGAAAAGAAATAGGAAACTAAAAAATGTATATATATGTATATATATATTTTCATCAAGTGTACTTGGATTCATATGCCCTTTGGCCAGTTAGTCATTTTTACTTGGAAAATATGCTAACTTATTTGTTCTCACCTAAGATTCTATTTGTAGTAAATGTAAAATGTCATTTTTTATTAAATGTAAAAGAAAAAGAATAATTAGCTGTTTCATTTATTTAGGTGTTTTTTTATTTATTTATAATGTTTCAAAAAAAAAAATCTTCAGTTTCAATGGCATTAATGCTAATGTTAGCAAATAATACATGTTTCAATTGGGTGTAATTTTTATGCTGCTTCATGATATAGTTTAAATTTTTCTATGAAATCCTGGTAGGTTGTTTTTTTAAACCTTCTCCCTGAACCAATGTCTAGCCTGAAGGGACTGATTATAGGATGGCTGTCTTGTGCATTTATCTTTGGACATATTCCACATTATCAGACAAAGGATGCAAGCCTTGCCTAAGAAACTCAATTACCCTAATTGAAAATTAGTTACTCAACGAATCAACCAAGCTGATTTTTTTTGTCATTGTAATTTCACAACGGCAGCTCAATGTAAAAAAGAAAATGCACACATTTATAAGCATTTCCCAATGAGGATGGTTCCTGCACAATTCTTGTACATAGACTATCCAGCTAAATCACTGTGAATTGTAACCTAAATTAGCTTGTAGTCTGTTTTATTTGATCAGAAAGCTGCATTGATTTTGCTGTAATGGGTTTTCTTAGTGTTTTATTGATCTGGGACATTCCAGTATTGGATAATCTTATAGAAGGTGTTCTCTTACCCTGGTTTCAGCCAGAAACAAAATGCAAAAATAACCTCTAAAACTTAGAAGTACACACATTCAGTACCATTGTAATAATGCTAAATGTACAAAAAGTACAGGTAAGGGTTCACATATTACAGACATATTTCTGGGCTGCATCTTTTGCCTTTGCCTTCCTGATTAAAAAGGTCACACACATGCTCACGTTCGGATGGGAGAAGTTGTATCTTGAAATTTAGATGCTAAGTTTACTTCATTTGATATATTTTATTTTTCCTTCCCTGGTAATTTAGATGTTGTTACTTTCATTATCTAAGTTTCTTTAAAGAGTGTGCAGGGATGACATTATCACTTTTTGTAATGCAGAAGTTTTTAAGAAACCTCAGACCAAAGGCTTTATTTAGTCGAGTGCCTGTCTCCTCAAGAAATATTTTTATATTTAATATCAAAAAATTATCTTGTTAGAGCACAGTACTGTCCATGCTTTTACTTTTTAAGTTGTTTCCCCTAAAATAGAGCTGTAACAATTAATCGGATTAATCATGATTAATCGATTATTGAAATAATAAACTAATTTGGTAATTCTTTAATCATTAACTGGCATATAGAGACCGTAAAATGTGCCTTTAGCTGACAAAGGGACCCACTTGGAGCATTTATTATAACAAAATTATTAAAAATATGTAAACATTTTGCATTTAAGATAAAAAAAAAAAAAACTTCTTCATCTGTCAATATACTCTATCAAGAATCCCTAAAGTTGAAAAGTTTTAGTTTCACCTGGTTTAATTTAGTAAAAAGTCTTGTTTAAGGAACCTTTGGCTGTCCGGTTTTTTAATCAATTCATCAAGAAAATAATCAGATAAATTGATTTAGAAAATAATCGTTAGTTGCAGACTTTAAGCAAAAACAATGCCACAAATCAGGACCCATCCTGATTGGTTTAATTAGATCTGTTTGCTTCTAAAAAAAATTTAAAAGAAAAATGGCTTCAAAGTATTTTAATACTGAAGTTTTTGATGCATATTTGAATATAATGTTGATCTGAATAAGAATTTTCTATTAAAATGTTAAGTCTAAACTGTGGATTAAAAATAACAATCTTCAAGAAGGTTTTAAACATAGGGACAAAATGTATTATTGGTCTGATATATTATTCTGAACCTAAAGGTATTTTTTCTCAGCTTTTTGCATAAACATAACAACATAAGCATAACAATAAAGAAAAGGCTCAAAAAGAGCAGCCTTTATGTATAGAATCTATATGGTATGTTACACTTAGAGAATTAATTTACTGAAATAATTAAACATTTAAAAAATATGCTCATTTATTTAAGGTCACCTGAAAAAATTAGAATATGTCTAAAATATTTACCTGTATGAAATAGCAAACATACTAGAAGTATGTTTTAATGAAGAAGAAAGTGAAAGTTTTACAAATGTGCGTGATGCTTTTTTTTTTTTTTTGCATTAGCTAAAAAGAATTATCTTCGTGGCCACACATGGCATCCCTGCTTGTCCTTTTAAGTGGTTGTTTTGTAGTTGGAAAAAACCCAACAGAAAAAAGCAGATGATTCTTAGCTCTGATGTCTGTATTATGGAATAGGAGTGAATGAATGAATGAATGAATGAATCTTTTATTTTTTAGAAACAGCAGATTTGTTGGTCTGTTTATTGCTCAAATAACAAGTACCCCACTGATTTGCAATGGGCTGTTCTGCTATCTGAATCTGCAAGGACAGACATTTGTACTCAAAGCTATGGTCCACTGGGGCCTCTGGTGCTGTCTCGTTAATATACAGGCACCACTGCAGGAGTGGGTCTGTTACTAGAGAAGCATCTGGCACATAATGTTCTTAAATAAATTAACAGCACTGTCCAAATATATTCCTGTACAGTTTGCAACATTGATTTAAATACCATCTTATTTAAATGAGAAATAAAAAGACCAAAGCGTGGTTTAGCATTTGTTATGCAAACAAGGCTTCTCCGCATGTTTTCAACTGTTGCTGTTAACTTTGGACTGAAGTACAACTGTACGTCAGTACAGTATATTTAAAACATCTACATTTAGAAAGAGTTTGGCATTGTTTGTTTATCTCTGTCACTCTGACAGAGAAAATGAGGCTCTGATATTCACAGCTTAAACAAAGGATTCTAGCTACCACTGGTTTGTTTTAAATGTCAAAGTGAAGGGAAAAATGGTAAATTGGTGGACTTTGCTTTAGAGAAAAGCACATTTAGCAATATTAATTTTTCTTCTTTACAAGCTTTTAAAAAGAAATGCAATATTAATGCCTAACTGTGAAAGTCTGTATTCCTCACCATTGCTCTTTGTTACAGGTGGTAAAGATGATGATCATTGTGGTGGTGACTTTTGCCCTCTGCTGGCTTCCGTATCATGTCTACTTCATCGTGGGCGGCCTCAATAAGAGCCTGATGAAGTGGAAGTACATCCAGCAGGTTTACCTGTCAGTGCTGTGGCTTGCCATGAGCTCCACCATGTATAACCCCATCATCTACTGCTGCCTCAATAGCAGGTGTGTTTTAACGTTTACAACTTAAGCTTTACCCCAACTTTTAATCTATTATTTTCCGGTGAAAATTACCCTTAAAAGAATTTAACATTATGCAACTACAGTTCCTTGTTAAACCTGTTTTTTGTTGTTTTTTTTAACAAATGTCCCGTTCTCAGTCTGCAGTATTTCCCAAGGCTTTTATTAGACAGACAAATGCAAAGGAAGGCATACTTCACATGTAAAGGGAAAATAAAAAACACTTGGTACGCATTTATATTCAGCCCTTCCAACAGTCAATCCTTTGCTAAACCAACTTTTTTTTTTTATTACAGCTTTAAGTGTTACGAGTTATTTCTCACCTGGCATCGCACAACCACCGGCGGAGATTTTTTCCTATTTCTTTTTTTTTTTTTTTTTTTTTTTTTTTTTATGGATCACGGCCAGTTTATTCAATATGTGTGAGAAATGGATGGACACAGTTTATTAAAGATTCAAGATAACACAACTACATATAGAGATATCAGGAAGCATCTAAATTTGATAAGAAAATTTAGCATACCATGTTTTGTTAATAATAAATCTTAGAGATATCTTGGCAGCTTATCTAGATTTTTTTTTTTTTTTTTTGATAATCTTTTACACTTTGGTTTCCCACAGGCCTTAAATATAATCAACAAATTATTAAAAACATGTTAAAACATTTCGGTTTGAACTCTATCTCCTGTTGTTTCCATTGGTAACCATAAAATAACATTGATTAGTGGGCTCATTTAAATACACAATGACAATCTTCCAATGCTTAGCATGGACTGTTTATGGTTGAATGTCGGGGTGTGTGGAGGGACGAACATAAGGTGGAGAAATTTACTTGTTTTTGTGCATGCCCATTTTTTGATAAAGCTGAAAATGCTGTATAAGTTTTTAACTTTATCAAACAATGCGCATGCACAAAAATAAGTAGACTTTCACTGTAGATCACACGTGAAAAAAATTAATTAGAAAGATCAATCTTCTTGTCCTAGTAAACAAGCTGCTTTAAATTTCAATATTAGACCAAGAACGGTGTCAAAAAATTCCAATCAAACAAAATGTGTTTTCTTTGTTCATTACTCTTAGTGCTGCAAACAGGTTCATTTTCTGATATTGTCAAATATTGTTCCCCTCTTCTGATCTGGCTCCAGGTTTCGAGCCGGCTTCAAGAGAGCGTTTCGCTGGTGCCCGTTCATCAAGGTGTCCAGCTACGACGAGCTTGAGTTACGCTCAATACGGCTGCACCAAACACGCCAAAGTAGCATGTACACACTTACTCGGATGGATACCACCATGGTTATGGTTTACGACCCTGCTGAGGGCAATTGTGGCGCAGCAGGAAGAAAGCATTCCCTGCCTGCCAGGAAGAGAAGCTATGTCACCTCACGGCAGGCGGAGATCACTGCTTCCTGTGACACTGGAGCAGGAACACAAAATGGAGTTGCACCGAAAGCTGAAATTGAAGAGTTCTCTTGAGCAGCCATATATATATATATATATATAGATATATATGGAGATATATATATATAGATATATATCTCCATATATATCTATATATATATATAGATATATATATGTGTGTGTGTGTTTTTTCTTGTAAAGAGCTTGATGCAGTGCAGCTGTAAAGGCACAAAAACACAAAGCACATGCTGTTGCAGCTTTGTTCACACGTTGCAGTACATATAAAATTCAAAGTGGATTTCTCTGCATGCAGAGAAACTAGAAACCATAATCACCAACTATATATGTGGCTCTGAGCTTAACTTTCAGTTATATAACAATAGAATGGGATGTGTCCTACTAACTGGCTAGAGGTGAAATCTATTATGTATTTGTCGCCTGTCAATACACAGGCTGAGGGATTATATCACTGAGGGAAACCTAGCAAACCTGATTGGGGCTGAGTTTTCTAGTGAAGTGTGTTTCCAAAGTGGAGTATAGTCAGCTTTTTTTATCGCCTTTTTAGCGTAAATACTCATAATACTTTTTTTTTTGCTTGTTTTTACAAATGCAGTATTACTAGAATGTGGCATATGGTTTTATAGTTGAATAGATGGTACTTTTAATTAATGAATCATGTAAGGATCAGGAAACATAGACCATATTTTTGTATAACTATTATCTATGTTTGGGTTTCTATCATTTTTTACTAGGAACACAAAGTCATAAAGGGCAGTTTCAATATTTTTCATTTTTACCTAAAACATAGAAAAACATGTGGCCCCTAACTTTTTGACTATAGATATTCTTATTTTCTTGACTAGTTATTACCCGCTCTCTCTTTACTTTTCTAAAGATTTCTGCCTACAGTATATTGACAGTTAATGGTCCGAAAAACGTAAAAGTTTAATGTTTTCATTTTATTTATAATTTATTTAAGAATTATCAAGTAGAATCCAACCAACAACAACAAATAAAGATTTAGGTCATACAATACAGCAAATGTTAATTAAGCTCAGACAACACTACAGTATTTTACCTATATGGCGTACTAAAAATTAAATATGGGGTGAACGTCTCTACATCCAGATATGTCAAAAAAAAAACTTTCCATATAGTTTTTAAGCTTAGGTTTACTGTGCTCAACTGATGAGACCAATAAATATGATTTTTTTTTCTGTGCGTCAAAGAATACTTTATCAGTAGCATAGGCAGACAAGTGTTTTTTAGTTGGGACTAAGGGTAAATTGCAATGCCTTGTTCAATCTAAGCCTTGTTTAACCAAAACCTGTATTCTAATAGTTTTTGCCCCAGAAAATCCTACTGTACAGCTGACTCAGCAACACAAAATATTAGAAAAAAACATAAATATTAATTTCTGTACATGCTTTTTTTATCTGCTCTATTTAATCCTTTTTATTTTGTCCATATTTATTTCTTTAATGCTATTTATTTCTGCCTGTCCCTTTTAAATTTGTGGTTTTATTGGATTGCATATACAGTAATCTTTTACAGCACTGCTTTAAACAAAGCACCAAAATGCTTTAGCTTATTTCAGTGACAACATTAGGTAGCCATCTTCGCTAGCATGTACAGTTTATGTACTCCATCCAACCAATAGGCAGAAGCTATTCCCTTAAAACCAAACCCTCCTAATTTCTGTTATGAGGCAGGAATGCATACAGAAATGAAAGAAGGACAGATAGAAACGCTAAAGCTAAAAGGCTAAATAAAGTTTGAAAATGCAGCTTTTCTATTTTCCAGGGAAAGATAGCTGTGCCACTGAAAGCTTGCTTGTACTGTACTACTCTCCTTTTCTGCTCTGCAACAATACTTTAACAAACAGTAACTCCAGATAAAAGGGCATCAAATAAAAAAAAAGATAATCCATACTTTTAAGCTTTTATTCCGATTAGAGCAAACAATTAGATTTTTTTTACCTTTAGAAAGTTTTTCTTTCTCTCAAGGTATCAACTTCTGTTGGTGACAATCTAATACCACAAATAAATAAGAAAATGATAATAAATAACAGATGAAGCCTTATCTTAGCACAGCTTATTTATTTAAAAAGCAAGGTTTCTCTTTCTTATGTTTCATACTTCATTCACTAAACTAAGACAGAAAATGAATGCCCATTTTTTTATTGTATTACTAAAGATGGCAGTAAGTTCATTTTTATCATATAAAATATGAATAATGTAAAATAGTTGTGAAACAGTTACTTAATTTTTAAAACAACAGTGATTAAATATATGGTATAGTTGGTGATTTCTTTTACATAACTTGTGCGTAAAAAACAACAACATTTTTGCTGTAAATAATAATAATGCAAACAGAAATACACAAATAATTTAGAATATGAAACATTGCAAAAACAGCATTTTCTTGTTTTCTAAATATATTAAACTAAATGACTGAAGATTAACATTTTTGTTGTGGGTTATTTTAATTTTATTCCTAGTGTTCTTGCTGTAGAGTTCTGCTTTTTTACATCACTGGAAGAAATCAAAGTAAAATCGAATGTTAGACTTCATGAAAGTAAAACCGTAAGAATGTAAAGAAAAACGTTCTGTGCATTTCAGTGTCATGCATTTCTAAACTTTTGTCCGGTCATTTTTATGGAAGGTGTTCAACCTTTTATTGATGGTAATTTAAAGGGCATGTTGTGTACCATCATTTTTACAAATTAATTTTGTGAAGTCAAATGCAGACTTATAGCTCAGAACAATTTGTAATTCTTTTATAAACAAACTAAAAAAAAAAAACATGGCTCCAAAAAATAAATAAAGGGGAAGAAAATGTACCAGAGAAGTGCAGCAAAATTTAGAGTTAACAAACCAGCACCTAACTGAGGGATTTTACAGCTTCCGTGGGTGGGAGAGTGACAAAAACAGTCCTTCAAATCATTATAATTCAGGTGGCATTCAGATAGACCTGGTGTATTCTCCCTATTGGATTAGTATTTAATATTCTACTAACATTAGCCCCTGGTTTTAACCTAACTAGCCAGAACACTTAACATTCAGGAATTAGGGATTGTGCAACTTTCTACATTTAAATAGTCCATGTTTTAGGGTTTAACTCCGCTGAAATTAACATAATTTTTAGATGACATTTCTCACTTTATTCAGACATTAAATGTATCCTTATATAGATTCTCCTCAAGTCTTTCTAAAGAATATGCTATTTTTGGTGCATGTGGAGAAATCAAATTTCAGTAAGCTCACTTCAAGGACTGATGACCATTTTATTAAAAGTGCTCACTCCATCCTTTTTTTGTGTTGCCTATTATTGGCCCCATTTGGTATTGTCCCTTTATTTTTCTTTATGTTATTTTTGTAAAAAATTAGATACATTATCAGAGTACAGCCATAGAGCATGACAGGCTTTTACTGTAGATGGTGCCATTAGAGATGTTACATTTGATCGGGACACCCTGGTTTAATTGACCCAGAAGGCTCCTTTTATTTCTGAAATGTGGTGATTAATGTCATTAAACTAATTTATTGTGTCTCTCTGTTTAAATTTGTTTGAATGTACAGTAGAGTTTGTGCCTATATTTGTCGGATGGTAACTTTATTATTTGTTGTGCTTTAAAAGGGCAATTAGTTACTTTTAGCCTGAGCCTAATTTGATTCTCATTTTAACCCTGATGCAACAATTCATGTGGTGGGCCTGTGAATTACATTGGTGTTTCTTTAACAAATCTGATCAAAAGAATGATGCTCAGGTTGAAAGAAGCTGGATTATCCGTTAAGAAAATGCTTTAAAAAATATGTCTGTATTTGACTGTAATGTGTGTGTGTATATTTGTGTTTGTAGATTATAATAGTATAAGTATTATGATCAAGTGAAATGGTAAACATAATTTAACTATTCTATATCATACCACTTTGGCTTGACACAAAATGTTTTGCATTGCTTTGCAGCTGTATTAATCTGATCTGCTTCATGAACTTTTATTGCAATGGTCCTCTGCATAGTGTATTGTTTACATTTGTATATACATATGTATGATATAACATAGCTGCGACCTGTTGCAGTATTAGTCAAGCTTGAAAAAAGTATTTTGTTTCGTGTTGGTTGTCATAAACAATAGTAGTTTATGTAATAATTTACAAAATTTCTGTATCTCAGTTTAGTGATTTTGTTTTAAGTTGGACTTACACTGAAGTAACATTGAATGCTATTTTGCAATGTGTATTCTACCAAGTAGGGTTCACTTTTGCTTTGAGGAGGTTGCACTAACAGAGAGCCTTCTAATCATGTTTAGCAATATACTTCAACTTGATTTGATTCAAGTAAAATCAGAACAAATAAACAGAAACAATAGCATTAAAGCTACAGTGTGTAATAATCACAGGGATTTACTGACAGTGGCAAGTTAAGCCCATATACAATCCTACACAGGCTAATAATATACTGTTTATTAAATTTAGACTTGCACCGGTAAATCGACAATGCTCTGAAATTCGCCAATTTTCAATTGATCGACATCAACCACCATCATTGGTCTTCACCGTCATTATGAAGACGAACAATTTTTTTGCCTTTTTGATTAGTTTTCTCTAAGTGGACATATCTTCATCCTGCCCTTCTCACATGTTTGTTTTGGTCAAAATGTTCAAAACAAGGGGACGAATCTCCAAGACAACAGAGTTAAAGGTATAGTGGAGGATGTTCTTTTTTCGGATGGATCATCAAAACAAAAGGTCCTCCTAATTGTCAATCATTCTGGTGATATGTTTACATGAGGCCGTCCTCTTGCTTGTCACATAGTGGAAAACTTGCTAATCTTCTTTTGGAAAGTAAGCTTGTATGAGTGGTGCAAACAGAAACTTTTAAACAGAGCGTGCATGAGGAGAAATGGGCTCGTGCACGCTCTCACATGCGTTCAATAGGCGTTCACTCTCAGGAGCGGGTACAGGGTTGTGCATGTCCTTTTTTTGTTTTTTAAAGTGTAGGGCAGGTCTTCAAAACATTTTCTGGAGCTCAGACAGGAGCAGCGGGAAATCGGTGCAAGAACTATGGGAGAG